TGTGTGTGTGTGTGTGTGTGTGTGTGTATAAAAGACATATTACTAATAGGATAGTATTTAGTATTAATATAGTGGCATTGATTTATAAATATTTTATTATTTATATCAGTATCAGATGGGCTTCAGCTCTCATAATTTCCCTGCCAACCAGCTGAGGAATTCTGGAAGTTGAAATCTACACCTTTTAATGTTGCCAAGATGGAGAAACATAAATTTTTAGCACTTCTAATCAAAGTCAGAGTTAGTCTTCCTTTTTTTTAGATGCTTGAAACACACACCACCTCAGCCATTTCTCTTCATTGTGACTTGTTTGTTTCAATCGATGTTGTTTTCCACAGGTGCAGATTGGGTGCCACACTGATAATTTAGTTAATCTCAAGGAATGGAAGCGTCCCCCAGTTGTAACAAGACGGTTTCGCGTGCAGAGGGAGAAAATGGAGATCTCCAGTTTGTGGGGAGGCCTCCTGTACATTATTGTACCAAAGAATTCTTCTTTAGGCTACTTCTCTGTCACCATCGAAGGGGCCACCCATGCTCCTTATTTCAAGCATGGTAAGACAACTCCTTCCTCAATTTATGAAGTTCAAAACTTTTCTGCTTTGTTTGTTGGCCCTGAACTGATCTTTCTTCAAAAGGTATTGGATGCAGCAAATTATCAGGAGTCCATCTCCATTTAGACACCCAGTAGGTGGCTTACAAACAATAAAAAGATGATTATAGAAATTATTAAAAATAACAACACTATATAAAAATAGAACCAAGGAGATGCATGGCACGGGGATGAGATCGTTGTCTTATCTCCTGAAACACATTTGATGGTGAGTGCTCCCTTTGGGGCCTTAAACCAATTAGCAAAACCAGATGTTCAAACTCTTCTGAAGGGACAGAAGCGTGAGAACATGTCTTACTTACTGTGATAGAATGTTGTAGAACGCTGTGGGCAAAACAGAAAAGGCTCTTATCCTTGACCCCACCAGCCAGAATTCCTTGGCCAATGGGTTGGACTGGACGCCGCATCTTCTGGAGCAAGTGGGACAGGCTAGTCTCGGGGGGGGAGGGCAAGATACATGCCATATAGGGCTGTAAATGTAATAACCACCACTTCGAATTGGAAATGGAATGACAAAACAATAGTATTCTATTTGTCACTCTAAGGGCCCCAGAAGCATGCACACTGCCACATTCTCCACCAGCTGAATGCTGTTGAAGAATAGAGTGTGTTGCAATAATCTATCTGAGAGAGATGACCAAAGTGAGAGTGACTGTGCGGTGTCCACAGAGTGTCATGATCCAGATAAGGGTGTAAATGGTACACAACACATAGCTGCACAAAGGCCATCATAGCTGCAACTGCCATATGCGCTTTGAGCAGGAGTTCGTGAGTCTAAGCAAAACACCGCTCGGGTTGCACGCTGATCTGTCTGGGGTAGTAATACCCTATCCAGAATTAAAGATAACAAACAGGAGGCACCTGGAACCTCCAGCCATTCTGTTTTACCAGGACTCAACCGGAGCCTATTGTCCTTCATCCAGACCTCTTCACAGCCTGCAGGTACTGCGAAAGGATAGCCAAAGCATCACTTTGTCAGTATCATCCTGAAATTACCGTATTTCCCCATGTATAAGCACCCCCTTTGTATAAGCCACCACCACCCCAATTTTTGGACTGTGAAGTTTTGAAAAAAATATTTTATTAGAGAAACAAGTTATGAAGAAAGAAAATTTACAAAGAAACAAAATTCGACATCTAGATCTACAACTTCGGTCATGACGCCGAAAGCGGTGCGGGCGATGCTAGCAATCTACGCATCGAAATGAGAGTAGGAACGAAGCATTCAGGCCGATGCCTAGCGTATGCATTTCTATTGCGTACTCGTAATCGTATCATCACTTATAATTTTTACAAAAAAGTATAGCATACTGCTGGAAAACCAGTTTATTCCTACTTTATTATTTTATGCATTTTTCACGTATAAAAAGTGTACCTGCTTTGTATATGCCACCCCCCTACTTTTTGGGCTTGAAAATTTTGGAAAAAAGGGGTGGCTTATACATGGGGAAATACGGTATGTTGAAGCCCAGAAAAGTTCATATTTAAACCAGGAGACTATAGTATATTCTATTCAAAGGCCTTGAATATAATTATGAATTCTTTATGCAGTCATTGCTCTGCAATGAAAAATTAGAAATATGAAATAAATTCACCTGGATATCTTGGAAAGTTCATTTTAAAAATGGGCGATTTCTCACAATTGCTCTTTCTATGGCAAAAAATGTTAGAGATTCTGTTTATATATAGCACCACAGAGCAAAGAGTACAATCACCATATGCTTTACTGCTCAACTGTTTTACACTGTAACAGAAAATGGGAAATTCTACTTTGAAAAAAAGAGCAGACCATATACCATAGATCCAAACCTGTAAACACTGCCATCTACTGGATGAATACTACTGCAATTGTTGCATAGAATACATCCCAACAATGAATTCCAACAAAAAAAAAAATATCAATAACATTTCCCAGGACAATGGATGTAACAGAGATTTGGTAAAGAAAACTGGTGGAAAATAAAGGTGAAATTCCTGCACCTTTTTGCCTTTTCCTGGAATGTACTATTGCCACACCTTTCAAAATATTGTGATCAGGAAAGTGTTTTCTTTCTCCAACCTATGTTTGGTTGAAGAATATAATGTATCCAGATGTTTTGTTTTAAATGTTTCTTTAGGTGAAACCAGCATCCAGGACTGGCAAGATACTATCCGCCACTATCCCACTCCCTGGGCAGAACTTGAAACTGAAAATATCATCCTCACACTGCCATCAGATGCTGTACGTAGTCATGATGGGATCACTTTCCTACTCCAAACCTGGGATCAGATGATGAGGGCCATCGCCCACTTATCAGCCATCCCTCCTGTTTTTCCCAGACCAGAGAGGATTGTGGTAGATGTTCAAATATCAGCAGGCAAGTATAAACTAGTTCACATCACAGGTTGTACTGGTCTGCTTTCCTAATTTACAGGTCAAAATGTGTTATAATTATTGTACTAATGCTGCAATTCGCATCGTTCCCCAATGCACTGCAGCAAGCTAACAAGTGCACCATGGGATATTTTTCTACTTCATAAATGGACTTATAAAGATCATTTACTAAAATTTAGTAAAATATCACAGTTAGAGATCTGCATTGCCCTGGGTTTCTGCAGCAGAGTTTGTAAAATCACCAAGGACATCATGAAAAAACTACCGAGATATTAAGGGCACCCAGAACTGGGAAAATTTGCAAACTGTGGAGTAAAGTATATTTTTTGGATTCACACCTACATCCATGAGAGAATGGAAGCCCTGGGAGTATTTGATGAGATAAAGCAAGCCAAAAGTAGTACGATCACTTTTTCTTTCTTCCCCTCTTCTCTGTCTTTTTGAGATTGTTTTGAAGAGAAAAGAAACTGCAGGCAGAGATATCTGCAGAAACGGCACTCAAAAACTACACCGAACTGTTGCAGTGTATTTTGCTTCTTTGCCATATGTATCCAGACATTGCATGTTCCGAAAGATGGTTCGAGTCTTAATGGCGCAATCCTTATCATTTTGCTGAAAAATTCTGTTTATATGGAGACTGCAGGGAACAGATAGACAGCCATTTTCAGAAATTTGAAGGGATTTTTTTGCAGAGGATACTTGAAAATAGTAAAAGGCCAAATCAATTCTGGGCTAAAGTATGCCCACCCAATCTTATTATTTTTCCCTTCTGCAATGTAGGATCTGTGTAACTGTATCCCAATTCTTTCCTTAGGTTGGATGCACGCTGGCTATCCAGTCATGAGTAATGTAAATGCCCTACCTGAGATCATAGATGTGCAAGCTTTCTATGCCAAAGGAACCTGGGCCCCAATCCACGAACTGGGTCATAACCAGCAGAAAAGTGGGTGGAATTTCCCACCCCACACCACAGAAGCCACCTGCAACCTCTGGTCTGTTTATGTCAATGAGACTGTGCTGAGCATCTCCCGAGAAATAGCCCATTCGGAGCTTCAACCGCATGCAAGAAAGGAGAGGATTGAGAACTACATTAGAAATGGAGCTAATCTGAGTGGCTTTAAAGGGTTCACTGCACTGGAACCCTATTTGCAGGTAAGAAAGCTGTTCGTGGAAGATCACTGGATAGTCCTCAACTTACAACAGTTCATTTAGTGACTGTTCAAAGTTACAATGGCATTGAGAAAAGTGGCATAACTGTTTTTCACACTTGCGACACTTGTACCATCCCCTCAATCTAAACTCAGACGCTTGGTAACTGATTCATATTTATGACAGTTGCAGTGTCCTGGGATCATGTGTTCTTCTTTTGTGACCTTCTGAGAAGCAAAGTCAATGGGGAAGCCAGATTCACTTAACAACCATGTTACTGACTTAACATCTGCAGTGATTTACTTAAGAACTGTGGCAGGCAAAGTCGTAAAATGAGGCAAAACTCATTTAACAATATTTCACTAAGCAACAGGAATCTGGGGCACAATTGTGTTCGTAAGTTGAGGACTACCTCAGTGTAGGATTGTAGGGGTGGGGGTGGGGAAAATCTTTCTCAAAAAGATGTTGATGTTTATGTTTTTATACTGGTGGCCTTTGATCTAAACAATGTAAGGTCATATAATGTAAAATAATGTAATAGCTGAGGTACAGATCACAGATCTATACAATTGCCCTATTTTTCTTCAGCTGCAGGAAGCCTTTGGTTGGGACTCCTACATCCACATTTTAGCAAAGTACCAAACGATGAGCAACATCCCACATGACAACACAAAAAGGATGAACCTGTGGGCAGAAACCTTCTCTCAGGAAGTCAACAGAAACCTCGGTCCTTTCTTCATAACCTGGGGTTGGCCCATTGAGGACAGTG